AATAGAGCCCCCCCCCCCGCGCCCACCAGAACCCATGACCCTGGGGCCATAAAATTCACAATCTTGGTTGAGGAACACTTGCTTATCATAACTATGTACTTAGTTAGTTTATTTAATACCTAGGAGCAGAGAAGAAGATTTTCAAAGAATTCATGTATTTTCACTTTATAAAGAATAAAGTCCCCCCCCCACCAGAACCATTGATGCTGGGGCCAAAAAATTCACAATTTTTGTAGAGGCACTCTTGCTCATCATAACTATGCACTTAGTTAGAAAACGGATAGCAATAGGTCACCTGAGTTTACTCAGGTGACCTAATCACCTGAGTTTACTCAGGTGACCTAAAAATCATACAATTATAGAGTACATAACATTGTTTATCTCCGAATAACTTCAGTTTTGTAATAAAACATACATGTACATTAATTCAAAATTTTGAATGAACTCATTCAGAGTTCTTGAGATCTTTTTTTCACAGTCAGTCATTTGGACTGACTGCCATGTGAAGTTTGTCAGTCCGGACAAATTTCTATCAGTCCCAAAAAAAAAAATAAATAAAAAGATGAAAACTTTGTTCGATTTTATTATCAATACATTGTGCACCATATTTCAATAAACACTGCATACTTCATGCTGATTTGATTGTCGATTTTCTTTAAATTATCTCGGGGGTCGATTTTCTTCATAGGTTTTTAATCTAGTTTGATTTTCTCACTTGGCTTACCATAGCACTGTCAACAAACCTGTTTTATCAGTTTACCAATCATAGTTTGACACTTATATATATGTAATTGGTATGAAATTTTGTCAGATTTTTGCAAGTTCCTCTGTCAACATTTACCAGTCATTTGGACTGACACAGAACGCAAAGTAATCAGTCCTTGGTTGTTTTAATCTTGCCGACAGGACCGAAAGATTTCAAGAACTCTGACTCATTGCATATGTAGGACTCCAAAGTGCGATGGGACTCCAAAGTCGATGGTCACGCAAAAGTCCGATGGTCCGCACCAATCCGCGATGGTTAGAGACGCCAAACCCCGATGATGCTGAAAACATTTAACGCTTATGACGTCATAGTACTAATGCGCCAAACAACAATGCCATAACCATGCCAAGGTTTTAAAATAAGTATTAAAATACTTATCACCATCCGAAAACTAACCCTTATCCCCCGAATAGGTGCGAAACTAACCCTAATCACTCGAAAAGTGTGTAGGCCTAACAACTATATAGATATCCAGATATCTTGGGTGGGTGCTTTACTAACCCTCATAACTTGACTAGTGTGCGAGGACTAATACTAAATCAAAACAATTAAAAGGACTAACCCTTATCAGTTGAGTGGTGTGCGAGGACTAATCCCAATATCTCTGATACATGTAAGTAATACGCAAAATAAATAAAAGCGTAATATAACTATGCAAGGATAAATTCGGAAATGATGGCATTTGAATGCAGGAAAACAGCGTCAAGGATTGATGTCAAATTATTGTGGCATCATAAACGTCGATTGTTTCTCCATACCATCGGACTTTGGCGTGTCAGATCATCACACTTTAGCGCAGCGTGTCTCATAGGAAACGAGCCATAGGACTTTGGCGTGACCATCGGACTTCAGCGTCCGCACCAACAACATACCATCGGGGTTTGGCACAGACCGTCGGGGTTTAGCGAGACCATCGGACTTTGGCGTCACCATCAGACCTTGGAGTCTTACATATATATTACAGACCATCATTGAAAATGATATTTTTTTTTTAAATAAAAACACAGCAATTAAAACTAACCCGTGCTCCTATTCTGCATGCTGGTATCCATGCCTTGCATGGGATTCTAGAAGATAAATTATATGTTTCAGAATTTTTGTACACCTCAGCATGGAGAATTATGAAAGAATACTCCTAGGAACATAAATAAACATTTCAACATAAATCAGAAAATTTCAAACTATAAGTACAGTAATTTTAACATTCCAACCACTTTACTGTAAAAAATAAGCTAAAAATGGAATAAAAGATTTTGTACTGAGTACTCACCATTTTAAGTGGGTCGTACTGTGACTGTGGTGGCATGGGATTGGACATTTGTTGCTGTACAATTTGTTGCTGCTGGGGTTGCTGTTGCTGGGGTGGCTGTGGCATTGGGCTGTGTTGGAGGGGGACTTGGGGGGAGGGGGACGGCTGGTTGAGGGGCTGCTGGGGGGAAGGCATGGACTGTATAGAGTGGTCCTGGGTACTCAGTGCTATCAAATCAAATGTTTCCTAGTACATGTATAATCATTCAGACTTAAACTGATAAAGAGATAAACAATGACAAAAGCAAAAATAAGTTTATACAAACAAAACCAGAACTCCAATCATCATTACAGAGTAACCAGTAAACTGCTTACAAAGTGCTATTCCTAACAAGAGGCCCACGGGCCTTATAGGTCACCTGAGTATCATGTAACAACTTTCTAGCGATTGTATTTGGTTTGTGTTTTAATCCAAAAGCCATGAAATTCACAAATTTTGAAAGAGGCACCATTGCTTATGAAAGGGCAGATTTCAAAGCATTAATTTATATTTAGTCAAAGTACCCCCCTGGTACCCCTGACCCAGCTGCCCTGAAATTATCTATTTTGAAAGAGGCCCATTTCTTCATTATAAGGCCAGCATTTTTTTATGTTTAGGTTTAGTTATGAACATGAGAATAAAAAAGTCCCGAAGGAGAAGGAAATAAAAAAAAAAAATTTGATAAATCAATTATTAACATTTGTACATTCTTTTTTATGTTATCCTAATAGGCTCCTTACCACTGGACACATAATGCTTACAAATAGGAAAGTAGAACATTTAATCGCTTATTTCATCATCTGCCAGTTTGGGTCAGTTATATAAATTTTGTGATGTTGATCAAAATATATTTTAAAAAATCTTTAAAAGTCTTTCAATATAATTATTTTCATTTTTTTAATATGTGTAGACATTGTTCTAAAATTTTCTTGATGCCTCAAATTACAATTCCTATCATAAAACAGAGAGGGAGTATTGGGGAGTAGGGTGAACATTTTTGCAATTAAGTGTGAAATAATTTTTCTGGCTGATACAAATGATACTATATGCCTGTATATATTTGTATATTCTTACCTTTTAATAGTTAATTTTTTTTTATTTCTTCAGGTTATTGTTTATTTCTTCCTCAAATGGACTTAACTTCTCCCATAGTTTTATTCATTACATCTGATGCAGCAACCCTTTTCTGAAGAATGATACTGTAAGCTACAACAGAGACCTAAACAATGTCGCTGGCAATATGCAATAGCTACCACGGGCAGTTTAAAACCTGGGGAGGAAAATAATTTACAGACAGATACTTTTGAAACGAATACATAATTATCTCACCAGCATGTCATTGTGCAACAAAGTCGTCAGCATTTTATGTGTCCTTTGAACGGGTGAAACGTTTTGAATAGCACTCTTATCGATGAATTTTACACTAAACCAAGCTATCTTCTCAGATCTAGCTTTATTTACCCGCCGTTTCATCGTAAAACCGGAAGTGCGAGTTCATAAATTTGAAATCTCGATCCCGACTCAAATTTGACATCGGAAAGAAATTTTTTTAATTTTTTTCTGAAAATTCAAAACCTTGAGCGGAGGGTTTGTAAAACTGAAAATAAAATAAATCCTGGCCTTAAATATGTAATTAGATCATTAACCAGGAGCAAAGGATAAGATGTTCACAGAATTCATGCATTTCACTGTATAATCATTGGAGCCCCACCCCAAAACAAGAACCCCTGACCCTGGGGCCATAAAATTCATAATTTTGGTAGAGGCACTCTTGCTCATCATAACTATGTACTTAGTTAGTTTATTTAATACCCAGGAGCAGAGAAGAAGATTTTCTTTTCTTTATTGTTTTTTCACTATATTATCAATAGAGCCCCGCCCTAACACCAGAACCCCTGACCCTGGGGCCATAAAATTCACAATTTTGGTAGAGGCACTCTTGCTTATCATAACTTTGTACTTAGTTGGTTTATTTAATACCCAGGTGCAGAGAAGAAGATTTTCAAAGAAATAATGCATTTTCACTACCTACTTATTTAGCCCCGCCCTAGCACTAGAACCCCTGACCCCAGGGCCATGAATTTCACAATTTTGGTAGAGGACTCATTGCTGATTACAAACATGCAAACAGTTTGACTGCTTGATGTCCAGGAGTAAAGAAGATTTTTAAAGATTGCATTAATTTTAGTGGTTTTGGCCCCACCCCTCAGGCCCCAGGGGGGCAGGGACCCTGAAATTCACAATTTTTGTTCCCCTTCACCCACAGATGCTGTATACAAAATTTGGTTGAAATTGGTTTAGTGGTTTCAGAGAAGTAGCTGAAAATGTTCAAATGTTAACACACGACGGACGACGAACGACGGACGCCGACGGACAAACACGGATGGCAATAGGTCACCTGAGTGACTCAGGTGACCTAAAAAGATGATGTTTTCATTATCTAGTTGTTTGTAAGGAACACTTTCCAAACTAGTGAAAATGTCCTTTTACATCTATTACTAATTAACCTTAAAATAAACTAGTGATTTGTTTCTAGGTACAGATTTTCAGCTTTGTTTCTGATGCTTGGCTTACCAGTTCCTGTAGATGTTGTGTTCGGTTTCCTGAATGAAGAGTCCACGGACATCTGATCCGTGAGGGATGGCGCCGGGGAAAATCCTGTGCTGGCAGAAATACTGGGAGGGGCGGGGCTGGTGGGGTTCTCTATAAGACAGATATCTTTACATCAGTTTTAAGATAAATTTAAAAACTTCAGACGAGAGACATTTCATATATTCAAAACTTTTGGAGTAAGATATTGTCCTAGAGTAAGAAATGGTTAAAATCAGCAATTTCAACAGCAGAGGTGTAAGCTTTGCATTTCAATAGGCATTGTATTGACAACCTCTAGTAATATATCCTGAAAGCTAGCTTATTTTGTAAACCTCCAATTAATTTGAAATATATGTATGCTTGGATCAAGATCTTTTTAGCTTTGGACTTCAAATACAAATACAGCTGAACTTCAGTATCTCAAACATTGATATCTCAAATATCATGGATACGAGTCCTGTAACTTGAATTTTTGGTAGTTTACTGTCGATACCTCAAATCCTTGGATAAATAGGTTTTTCTCTTTGTTCTATTGATATAATAAGGTTTGACTGAACATGTAAATACAGTTAGCTTTATTCTAGATCTGACATGAAGACTGTATATGTGTATAAGCCTCTCTAGTCAGGGTCTGTACATTTATCTTTGCTTCTGAGACAAAATTATGAATACTCCTATAAACCTCTACAGATCTTTTTATTGTACAGTTATACATGTGTGTATTCACCTATATAAACCTCTGTACTCACTGTTTGTAGAATTTCTACTGTACCATGTACCAAGTTATATGTTTCAGTACACCCTCTACACTGACTATCTGTAGATCTATTTTATTGAGTTATACATACTGTATGTGTACAACTATAAATGTCTTTACTCATGTCTGTGCTAAAATAGTCTAGTGTGTACCCTTATAAATGTCTGTACTCAGTGTAGGTTTATCTTCATTTGATGTACATGTACCTGTGTACAGCTTTCTAAACTTACTGTCTATAGATTTGTCTACAGCTATATACCATGTCTACACTTAGCATCTACAGCTTTGTCTACAGCTATATACATGTCTACACCTACTGTCTACAGGTTTGTCTACAGCTATATACATGTCTACACCTACTGTCTACAGCTATATACATGTCTACACTTACCGTCTACAGGTTTGTCCACAGCTATATACATGTCTACACTTACTGTCTACAGGTTTGTCCACAGCTATATACATGTCTACACTCACTGTCTACAGGTTTGTCTACAGATATATACATGTCTACACTCACTGTCTACAGGTTTGTCTACAGATATATACATGTCTACACTTACTGTCTACAGCTATATAATATCTACACTTACTATCTACAGCTTTGTCTACAGCTATATACATGTCTACACTTACTGTCTATAGGTTTGTCTACAGCTATATACATGTCTACACTCACTGTCTACAGGTTTGTCTACAGATATATACATGTCTACACTTACTGTCTACAGGTTTGTCTACATACATCCATGTCTGTACTTACTGTCTACAGGCTTGTCTACAGCTATAAACATGTCTACAATTACTGTCCACAGCTTTGTCTACAGTTATATACATGTCTACACTCACTGTCTACAGGTTTGTCTAAAGATATATACATGTCTACACTTACTGTCTACAGGTTTGTCTACATACATCCATGTCTGTACTTACTGTCTACAGGCTTGTCTACAGCTATAAACATGTCTACAATTACTGTCCACAGCTTTGTCTACAGCTATATACATGTCTACACTTACTGTTTACAGCTTTGTCTACAGCTATATACATGTCTACACTTACTATCTACAGCTTTGTCTACAGCTATATACATGTCTACACTTACTGTCTACAGGTTTGTCTACAGCTATATACATGTCTACACCTACTGTCAACATGTTTGTCTACAGCTATATACATGTCTATAGTTACTGTCCACAGCTTTGCCTACAGCTATAAACATGTCTACACTTACTGTCCACAGCTTTGTCTACAGCTATATACATGTCTACAGTCACTGTCTACAGGTTTGTCTACAGCTATATACATGTCTGCACTCACTGTCTACAGGTTTGTCTACAGATATATACATGTCTACACTTACTGTCTACAGGTTTGTCTACGACCGCTGCATGGTCTCCTGCTGGACTGTGTGCTCGTTCTGTAAAATCATCAATTAAATTTAATACATGTATATATAGAATGAAACAAGTCAGGTAATTTTACACCCAAAATGTGGCTGTACAAGTAGTCGGAAAATAACCTTCTAGCTGGAATCCGTGGAGTAAAACATGATGCCGTGGATCTGTGGTAAAGTCTTTCACTGGAGCTGACATATCAGCAGGGGAACTAGACTATGAACAGGAATATATATGTATACAATTCCATTAAATCTGATTGAAAGACATTTACTACTGGTAATCCAATAACTGTAAGCACTAAGTTAAACATTTTTTTATTAACTTAGAAATTGTACCTTAAAACTTAAAGCATTATTAAAACACTTGAAAAATTTGCCCATTGAGAGCATTTATAAATGTCAGTAATCAGATAAAATGAGATGTGTATATTACCTCCTCATACAGTTTCTGAAGAGCAGGGATCTTTCTTGGGGATATAATGGACAGATGAATGCCTCTCTGTCAAAATACAAGTCAAATATAACTAACATACAACCAAAATACTAGACAACTATAATTTAACTGCAATTCTGCAAATCTCAGATACAGAAAAACATTTTTTTATTTTATATTATAATAGGTTAAGGCATCAATTGAAATTCACATTTTTACAATCATTTTATGTTGAAACATTTATTAAGCCATATAGACAAAAAGTCAAACCTTGGCCATCATGCTGGCTAACTGATCTGCCATATAACCTACATAACGGACCCCTTCTTGACTGGGTAGATTATAGGGTGGGGAATTACAGACAAGGATACAGTGTCGCTGCACAGGTAACCTAAAATTTTAACCAATGGTTATAAAAACTAAAGAATAACATCATCATTTATTTCTTCTCAAGTCTTTAGTTATTTTTGGTGAGTAGATTCCTAAATTATTTCTGTGAATAATTTGTAACTGGCTTACCATTGCAATTCTGCATTTTAGATTTAACAAGATGTGTTTGTGAAACACTATGCCCCCGATGGTAACACAATTCTGGAGTGGGACGTAGACTGAAGTGGTATACACTTACCCTTGACAGCGTAGTAGTATTAGATGACAAAAGACAAACAGGACAACCCCCAAACCCCCAACCCCCATATCTTTCGATCCTGGGGCATAAAAGATTGTACATCTTACAAACACTATGAAATTCTGAGCTCATAAAATACGGATAATATGGATTTCTTTGCTCTGAAAGACTTTCAGTGAACAGGAACCTACCCAATATCAATGCGAACTTTCTGGAGATCATCGAAGACATGGAGAGCTGTACTCAAACCTTCAGTGATGTGGCTACATGACTCCCCTCCACCACCAATAAACCTGATATTTCAAAAGATAGATGAAAATGTGTAGAAAAAGAGGCAACCCAAAAGTAACAATGTGAGTACCAGGTACTTTTAATATAAGCATTAAAATCAGTATAGGTTAAAGCATCAAAGCCAACCTGTTCTGAATTTGATTTGTAGTTAAACCCACATTTTTTTGATAACAGAATTAATGGGAAAATAGCATTTTTAAATATCGCAGTTTGCTCATAAAAATACAATCTGTTGTATATAATGTTTATGAAGAACACAGAAGAGAAGGCAGCATTTGACGTTTACAGTGGACTTAATAAGGCAGGCATCATATAAAAGTAGCCTTTATATCTTACGGTAGATCATCCAGCCAGGTAATGAACTCATGGATATTTGTAGTGACACTGGAACATCTCGATGTTGTGTCTGGGATGACATCGGCCGAGTAGAAGGTCACTAGGTTGTACAAGGAACAGCTATACTGCAAAAGAAAACAAAATGAATGTACTTTCACTTTCTAAAATTCATCAGAATATTAATCACACATTTCAAACCACTAGACAATATTCAGTCCATATTATGGCATATCTAATCCAATTTTACAATGTGTTTTATGTTTATAACTGTCTTCATTAGAGAAAAAGGGAATACCCTTAAAACAGGATTTATTAAGATCATATCTGCAGTGATGGCTTGTTTGTCATCTTAGTAATGTACGTCATGTTACATTTTATTTACTTACATCATGTCCAATGTCTGTTGGATCAGGAGGTCCACCATTAAACACTCTGAAAAAGAGTTGATTTTACATATAGTTAAAATTTTTGATCTACTCAACCAGAAACTCAATAAAGAAAAAGAATGACTATAAATAACATTTTTGTTTTGTCTCTGGGTTACTGTCACTAAATCTATCCAATTTCAAACATCTTACTCAAGAGCTGGAACAATATATTGCTTCTTCAGTACATCAATGTATGCACTGAGGTTCGCTGTGGCTTCCACCACTAGAACAACATCGGCTGGACTTGCTTTCTGATCTGTTGCAACCATATTTTTTCTACTTCTACAGGAAATAGGTCCAGTTACTTCCCTTCAGAGAGTTTCAGAGGAAGCGACTAATTACCGCAAGATAGCGGATTTGCTTTATAATTTTATTCATAGGGATTTTAAGGTACAAACCCATAAAATATCATCTAATGCCAAGTGTTGTCCAGTTTGGAATGTCAATATTTTGCAAGTAAGGATGGTAAATTAAATTAAAATAAAGTCAGTAGTTATTGGGATTCACATAATGCACGAAAAGATAACAAAAATCGTATATAGATTTAAGCTTATTTTAATTTATTTAATTATTTAATTTCATTTTAATTTATTTAAGTGAAAATCACTTTACGAAAGTAGACATGTAAGTTTATTTGCATTTTGATTTCTTACTGTAATGTTACGAAAACATTTTTAAAAATGTTTTAATCACGTGATTTTGTATGTTTTAAAAAAACATTTTTGTAATGTTTTAGCAAAATGTTTCAGCTAATGTTATCAGAACATTTTCTTAAAATGTTTCAAATACATTTTTCGAAAATGTTTTTTAAAATTGTTTTATTCACACGGTTTGAACGAACTTGAATCTAACTAATACTGACCAATCGCATCATGACTTTGTTGTTAGTTTAAAAGTATATTTTTAAGGACTTTCCTCTGGATTTCCTTTTTTAAACACTTTTCTCGCCCATTGTGGCGCCCTATCGTAACTCTGGGGTCAAGATTTAAAGAAATTTGGGTCTGTATTATGTCAGGAGGCTTTAATTTTATTATTTTCTGGCCCTGTGGGTTTTTTGTAATTGAGAAAAAGAATTTTAAATGACCCCATCCAATTTTTACTTTTTTTTTTTAATCTCCCCTTGGATGAGGATGTGGACCTTTATTTGGACAATCTTGAATCCCCAGGCCCTTTACCTATAAGAATACTCAGTGCCAGATTTAGTTGAAGAAGATATATATCTAAATATTTATGTCTCTTGTTGAAATGGTCTAGTAGTTTTGCAAAAAATGGATGAAATTGTGAAAAAGTTTCCGACAACGGCGGTAGACGACGGAAAATTGAAGACAGATGGACAACCGTTAAAAAAAAAATCCCAATCCAGGTGGGGGAAAATTAAGGGGGATGTTATTCATATAGTGTTAAATTCCATTGATCTCTAAGTCTCATATAAGTTTAAACTTTTAACTCTTTCACGGGGTCTTTTGATATGAAAATCAATGTCATTCATTTCACTGATTCCTTTTCCAATTTTGACCCGGGTGGTTTAAATTTTGTCAGCCATCAAACCAAAAACGGAATTGCACCTCCCTTCTTTATCATGAATCTGAATACACACATATATGGTCCTTTCATTCACACTAACCAATGTTTAAAAGCATTACCTGCCATTTAAATTCCTCAATATTACGTAAGTTTATTTCACAAGAGTATAATATAAAGATTTATTATAACTGGCACCTGACCATATTTGATTGGGTATGATAGAACAAATACAATTGTCGAGGGTGCATGAATTTAATCGTGACATATGGATATTTAAAAGTGGGTTATTGAGCTCTGCATTTAGCAATTATTACAATTAGCCTAGGTCTAATACACATTTTGAAATACCTGTAAATTTTGTCGTCATAAGTAATCTATATCTACCAAGAGGTAAAATAAGGGATTTTTTAAAATCAACTTCATTATGTGTTTCTAAAAAAAAAAAAAAAAAAAAAACAAACATTCATTGTCATTGAGTTCTTCGGTAATGCACGCATCATGAAAGTAAAGTTCTGTTTGGAAAAGAGAGATAATTTACGTGCTTAAAAATGGGACACATGCACGAAACTTTAGGCCTAACACTTGTACTTTTATCCTGGGTCGAATCGTCACATTCTTCTACATGTATTTTTATTTTCTAAAATGTAAAATATTTTACACAGAAATAGTTAAAACATGTTAAAGAGACGAGAGATAATGTTTTTCATATTTAGCGGGTTTATCAGTTTATTGAAAAAATATGAATTTATAGGAAAAAGTCGGTTAAAGAGCTTACCACAGCTCATGTTATTTCTGTTGAATTGTATATATATGCCGACTATAAATAAAAATTACTTGACTTGACTTGACTTGAGGAAAGAAGTGGTATCGATTTCAAATTTAAAAAGTGAAAGAAAATAATGGTTTGGGGGCAAGTGTCTATACTGAGTGACACCGATAATCATAATTTATATTATATATAGTCTATTAATTAATATAATTTAATTAATAAATTACACAGTGTGATTTTAAAATACATGTATTTAAAAACAACGTGTGATATTTCCTAGCAAAGAGATTTCTAAAAATCAATTAAAAGAGGAATGTTACAGTTAAGTGATTGACAAACATCGTCACAGACCCCCCCCCCTCCCCTTTTAATGATTAATGTACAATATATGTTCATTTCCTTATAAATAAATGCAAAGTCGACAAATTAAAAGAATGAATAAAAACATAAAATAGGAATATTAAAATAATCAGTCAACCGTTCTAATTTTCAACCTGTCATGGTGACGTACAAGAAGGCTAAGTTGAGAGATACGTCATGGTGCTCTTTTCTGTAGGGTTCTTGTGAAGTGTAACAGGTGCCCCCTCAGGTGGCCCCACAATGAATGACGCGTGCTATAGCAACCAATCAACGTTTACAAACAGCTGTTGAGTAAGAATGGCTGAGTTGTGAGATCAAAATTGTTCACCAGCTAAATTTTAATAGCTGAACTTAAAAATTTTGGTGCATTACTGAAAATCTTTTCATCATGCCGGAGGAAAACGTTAGAGTTGCTGTGAGAGTGCGACCTTTCATATCCTTTTTTGATTTTTTTTCCTTGGGGAGATTTACCGCGCGCATCTTGCATGGCATACAGTGTACCGGTTGAAGTTATTAAATCTTATCAGCAGCATCTTACGAAATTTATGTTAGCTTAAGCTGTGTATTTACACGTAATTGACGGAAGTTCTTTATCGCAGAAGATTTTGCCTTGGGTTTATGAAGATTTTCTAAAGGCTGTGATAAAGGGGGCACAACTCTGCATTGTCACAGACCAATAGCAAAGAAATCCTGCTTATTCTGTAGTCACAGTAGTGTATTATTGTAGGTATAGGTATTTTTGTTAATTGCCAGTTTATACGGGATGCTCCTTGTTTGTCTGCACAGCATTTGCCCAGTGACAGACACATAAAACTACATACTCACTATAGATTTACCTTATATAGTGTAAGGTTGAAAAGTTCGGTAAATTATGATAATAATAAGTTGTTCATGTACCATGTGTATGAAAGCTGAATTATGTGTTGTTCCTTAACATTGTTTACAATCGCAGAGAAAGGGAGCGAAATGCTACCCTTATTATTGACATGAATGGTGCCACAACAGAGATTACAGACCCAGAAGGAGGTGACGAACCAAGGAAATTTACATTTGACTACAGTTTCTGGTCACACGATGGAAGCAAAGAGGAATCCAATGGCTACTATGGCCCTGACACTTCACACCCAAATGGAAAGAAATTTGCTGATCAGGTATCAGTTTTTCTCATTAAATAATGTGATCATACTAAAATTTTTTATCTTTGATCTTCAATCTTTACTTGTAATTGAAAAGGATGAGAAATTAATCACTGTAGTTATATTTAGAAAAAAGTTTATGATTCGCTGGGAGTTGCGGTTCTTCAGAATGCCTGGGAGGGCTATAACAGCACATTGTTTGCCTACGGTCAGACTGGCTCTGGAAAAAGTTGGTCCGTCGTTGGTTATGGGATTAACAAAGGTTTGTGTATGGATAAAAAATTGTCATAGAAAATGTGGAGCAACATCCTCCTTAATTTCCTGTTTACTGTGGAATCATCATTGTTCGTGGGGGACCAATGTTCGTGGATTTCATGGGTCACCCTTATCCATGAATTAACATCCCCCCAAACGTTCATTTTGTCAACATATTGATGCATAAGTGAACCATCAGATTTATGATTAACCCTCAAAATTACGTCCCCACGAACAGGTCAAATTTTGCTTACCAAAGAACATTGACCCCCATGAATTAAAATGATTCCACATTTACTGTATACTGTAAAACGAGAAAATTTGGCGCATACATATTTTAGCGCAAACGCAAGTGGGAATGCATTAGCGCAAATAATTTTTAGCGCTTGCACATGTCAGTAAAATATTTATATTTTATATTTTGTTTTTTTTTAATCCACACCCGTATTTGATTTTATGGTAAGTCGAGCACGGAAACACATAAGTACTCCAGTATATCAGAAAACATTCGTTAACTTTACCGCGGTACGCATTCCTGATACATGAACGTGACACAATGTTAAATATTTTTATATTAAAAGAAATGGAGAATATACTCATTTAAAATCATATTAAAACAATGCATGCATCGACAGAAAATTACTTCGATAAAACGGTTATCCTAATCAGGTATTGTGCAAGCTCAATCGCCATGCTTGATTGCATTGTTTACCTCGAGGCGATAGATGATTGACACGCGGAGAAGCCAAACTTTGAAGGGGCTAATGATAATAATTGTGTAACAACTACTGGGGTAACAATATTTAATCAAATTACAATTTGGCAAAACTTTCTGTCTTCTGAACATGTGAAGGACTAGTGTGTAAATAAAATCCAATGACCCTTCGACATTACGTAATCGCGCGTTCCGGTTTACATGTACTTATGTAAAAGCTTTAAACACGCAAAAAAATGATATTTAGAAATCCTTTAGCGCACAATTAATTTTACCGCTCAGGGGCTCTTGCGCCAAAGGCGCTAAAATAAGTAGTGCGCCAAATATTCTCGTTTTACAGTATGTATATATAAAAAAAATTAATTCAGAGAAGAAAATATCCTGAACAGATCTTAATTTTAAAGAAAAAGCAGCTTTGACTTCCTTGAAAGTTATAAACAATCTTACGTACAGTTCATAGATTCAATTTTGAATTATTCTACACAGGTATTGTACCTATGTTTTGTGACGACGTGTTTAAGCAAGTGGAAGCAAAGAAGGCCGAGGGAGACAAAACAGAATTTGAGGTACGAGTCAACAGAGTTCATGGATAACATGAACATAGAAATATTAAAAAAATATAAAAGATTCTCAATGTACAGACAATGATTTATGTAGATATCTATATACCTCAGTATAATTGAATAATTTATTCTCACACAGTTTGCTGAAATACATGTAAGAAATCTTCATCAGCAATTCAATTAATTATTCTAATGATTACATTAATTTCCCAGTATTACATATCAGCTCACACCATACAACAAACCTTAAGTAGTTGAGACTATATATATTCTAATTAATATATTTTTATTTTGACAGATCACATTTAGCATGTTGGAAATTTACAATGAACAAGTTCGTGACCTCCTTGACAGTCGAACAAAGAAAGGTGGACTTAGAGTCCGACAGCACCCAAAACTGGGATTTTACGGTACGATATGGGTTTTCATTTTGGAGAGAGAGGAGGGAGGGAGCTCAGCATCTTAAATGTGAGAATTGTTGATTTGAAATGTCAACAAATGATTTGATTTAGATTTTTGTGATTTCAGCTGAAGGTCTGAAAATTGTACCAGTAAAGAGTTACACCGACATTGAGGCCAGAATGGAGGAAGGCACACAAAACAGGACTGTTGCTTCTACAAACATGAACGCCACCAGCAGGTAACTATGGTAACAGCTAAAAATACCACAATGTTGACAGGGATCCTATGTATGCCAAAATCACTCCAGCAACCTACTATTTGACCTTGACTGCCATATTGACTTCAGCTAGTTAAATGTTTTTCTCGTTCATCCATTTATTGTCAGTGTGCACTTATAAATGGATAATCTGTCCTGCAAGGACACATCAGTGCCTTCTTTGTTCATATAGTTTACATGTTTTAGACAAGAGACAAAATATTAACTAAATAAAATGAAGTATATATTTCATCAATAATTTTATTGATCACAAATGGGTAATTATAATTTATAAATATATTTTTATTATTTTTCAGTCGAGCTCACACCATTGTTGGAATCACATTTATTCAGAAATTCCAGAATGCTGCCGGAGAGGATACCACAAAATCAGCTGTCACCAATCTGGTGGACTTGGCTGGCAGGTATGTTAGTACAATGTAGAGATAACAGAGTTTGAATCAACACTTAGGATTAATTAAAAATATAACTTTGAAAATACTAAAGTGGTACTAAGTACTTTTAGATTCCTTTTGAAGAGATCCAGTGGGAATTTAAATTGTTCAAAAATGGTTTTAAAGCTGGTTAAAATGAAATATTTCGTTTACATTACCTAAACTTTCTGTATGGGTGAATTAAATACTGAGTATTCAGAAATGTAAACAAACAAACTCTTCATATAAATCTCTTGATTTCAGTGAGAGAGCGGAGAGTACTGGAGCCACTGGGGACAGGCTAAAGGAGGGAGCGGCCATTAATCAGTCTCTCTCATGTCTGGGTAACGTGATCGCAGCGCTAGCAGACAGATCATCAGGAAAAAATACCCGAGGTGAGTCTAAAAGAGGCAAACAACTGAGAATCCTTATCTTAAAAAACAGAAATACACCTAATTTCTAATTTTTATTCAAGTAATTACATCACATTTCTCATGTTTTATTCAGTTTAACTTATAGTAATTTATTTTTTCATCGATGCAGAAACCAAGTAGATCTGTATCTTAATTATTCATTACATACTTATTCAGATAAACATATAGGCCTGGGTTATTCATTAAGATTCGATGTTTCAGTTCCCTACCGAGACTCTGTCCTGACCAAGCTGTTGAAGAACGCCTTGGGAGGTAACAGTAAGACCATCATGATCGCTGCCCTGTCCCCCGCCGACATTAACTACGACGAGACCCTGTCCACTCTCAGGTACGCAGACAGAGCCAAGCAGATCAAGAACTCCACCTCAGTCAATGAGGACCCCACAGAGAAACTGATCCGAGAGTTACAGGAGGAAAACGAGAAGCTGAAGGCCATGTTGGCCTCGGGTAAACTCGAGATGGTGGCGGGCGAAGAGGATGAAGATTTAACGGAGGAAGGTAAAATTAGTTTTTGTTTTTTTATCTCAGATTTGATATTTTAAGCTGGCTAATACCAAAAGGAGGAGTTTTACCGAATGCTGAAACCTTTTAAGCAATCCCATAAACATTAGCTTTTGATACTAAATTAATAAAAGATTGTGAAAACTTTTAATCTATGACAATACATTAGAGGGGATTTACATGTACCCTAAACAAACAAGCTCTTTAAAAAAAAATTCCAAATTCATACACTGCAAATTTACAAGTAGAATGCTGGCAACTTCTCTATCACAAGTCTGATTATTATGAAGTGTTATTGTTTGGCTGTAATATTATCTTCAGATTTAAACTCCAATCAAATAAAAGAATAAATTAAATGTCTTTTTGAAAGGAACTTCCTGAAAGCAATATTCCTGTAATTTAGATTCACAGTTGATTTTAGCTACCATTGTATGAGGTAAATATTATCTCTGTTGCTTTGTAGAGAAGAAACAGATAAAGGAAGAACTAGAAGATCAGTACAAATCTATTCTGGACAAAAATGCCCAAGAAATGGAGGATATGAAGAAAACCTTTGAGGAGAAACTGAAGGAGGCTGAACAGAAAGGTGTAAGTAGACCAGTATGTGATCAAAGGGGGTGGGATTGGAGGGGAGGGGTGGTGAGAGGTGTAAGTAGACCAGTATATGATCAAAGGGGGTGGGATTGGAGGGGAGGGGTGGTGAAAAGGGGGTGGGATTGGAGGTGTAAGGTGTAAGTAGACCAGTATGTGATCAACGGGGGTGGGATTGGAGGGGAGGGGTGGTGAAAGGTGTAAGTAGCAGAGTTTCCGAAAACTATCGGTCCTACCGGCAAAAATAGAAAATCAAAATGTCCGATGAAATTGGCTATAGTACCGGTCTGTGTGACCGATTGTGGTGAGGGCTTGTCCTGATTAATTTATTGCACTCTGATCTACTGCGAAGTCTTCATAAATGAAAATTTTCAATGTAGCATGCTCCTATTCTTTGTAAATATCCATAATCTTATCCATTTTGCAATTCTTCCTGACTTATTTACTTCCAAAAACGATCGTTTTTTTTCCTAATCCAAATTTCCTCTATTCCTCTGTTAATGGTAAACACATGCAGTATATAGGTCATGCAGTGCAATGTCCACCAAGAAAACGTAAAGATAATTTAAATTTATTTTTATTTTGAATTTCTATCATAACAGTAAACTGCTATTTATATATGATTCAATTTTACAAGTGAGTATTTAATTTTTATTTTAAAAAGAATTCTAGTAACCATAAGACATTTTCTTTTTCAACAATTATTTTTTTTCATAATTTCTTGTTTCTTTCCCCCAATATTTACTTGGGGCTAGTGACTTTATTGCTGCCACAAGCCTGTGTGGTCTTTTGCCATGCTTGAATTAAGTCTAGTTGCATAACCCTGGTATCCAATCTGTGTTAAATTGGTGAGACCTGATGAAAATTTATACATATTCAATGCCATTTGAAATATACACTGTATATTCTAAAATTTATTTGGACTGATAGAATATGCTTCGGACCGGTAGAACGCATTAAGTCATCAGTCCGAATGACTGATAGAAATATTTGGTTTTCGGAAACTCTGAAGTAGGCCAGTATGTGATCAAAGGGGTGGGATTGGAGGGGAGGGGTGGTGAAAGCTGTAAGTAGACCAGTATGTGATCAAAGGGGTGGGATTGGAGGGGAGGGGTGGAGAAAGGTGTAAGTAGACCAGTATGTGATCAAAGGGGTGGGATTGGAGGGGAGGGGTGGTGAGAGGTGTAAGTAGACCAGTATGTGATCAAAAGGGGGTTGGGGGGTAAAGAGGAGGGGTGGAGAAAGTAGATGTTAAGGAGATGAGTGGAAGAGTGGAGAAAGGTATAAGTAGACAAGCACATGATCAGAGGAAGGGAGTGGACAAAAAAGTGCTGGAGGACCATTACTTGATTCAGGGTGTTTCATTGAGGAAAATAATGAAAATATTTGAATTTAATTTCTTTGGAATGAACAATTGAATAAGTTGTTACTAGTATTTAATTGATGAGAATGGGTCAGAACATTTTTTTATTTACAATGTTTCGAGACAATAAATTAATTCTTTACCTATCTGATATTTAGGGTGGAGGAGGGACTGATTACCATGCCATTGCTGAGAAGAAGAAGACGGTCCCCCACTTGTCTAACCTGAACCTTGACCCCCAGCTGTCAGGACACATAAGTCATTTCCTGGAGGCCCCCGAAATTTGCCTCGGATTTGAAGGGGACATTGTTTTGAAAGGGCCAAGGTAGGAAATCATGAAACAGTTTACTGTAAATCCTTTTTTCTTCACAATTACTTTTTTATGCTTGATTAAATGAGATTATTAACATGCAATTGTTTCATCCTCAGATATTTTTTTGTATTAAAGATTACATGTATATACTACAATAACAAGATTTTGTGAAAAATTTACTCACTTACACTTAACATCATTCCTGCAGTGATAAGGTATTGCAAAACTTTGCCCATCTACAGTATTTTGTGCAAACTGCTTTTTTTTTTTTTTAAAAACTTGCAGTCTAAAAGTTTTGCAGTTTATCTCCTAGAATTTAGTAAATCAGTGATTGATTACTCCAACATAAAAACAAATTTTTGATTAAAATTACAGATCATGTATTCCAGATAAAAATCACTTTGGTATGTGCCTTTTCGCAAGAGTCGTACATGTATACGTACATTGTATGTGCATTCCAAAATATAATATGTATGAAATATAGATTTATGGCTAGCCAATTCTAATTACATGTATTGCAAGGTTGCAAATTGCATCAAAACTTCAGGGGCCATGTGGGCGTCCCAACTTTGCAAAATTTACTATCCCATATGTATTGGGACCCACAATTTTCTGTCTAGTTGGGAAAAAAAAATCACCTTTTGTATTGTATTTCTTAAACAAGAAATTACAGTATATTCATATAAATTTATTCATTTTCCTGCATATTTTGACACCTCTTATTTAAATTCCACATTTTTCTTTACATAAAGACCTCACTTTATTAAAACATGGACATAATTGGGGGTCTAGAAAACGTTTAATGGAAAGGAAAAAGTGAAAACAAGTCTATTCAAATAAGGTTGTCCTCTGGAAAAGATAAGATATAATCTTTACTCACCTTGTTAGAGATAAGATCCTCAGGAATTTGTCACCGACAGAATGAATTCTATTTTTATTTGCAAGTGGATGAGTGGTTACATGTATTTGCAACCCTGAATATAGTCTGCATTATCATCTACATATTCATGGGACATATGATATTCCCATATACTCCTAGTAGAACAGTTGTTAGAGAGTATGTGTTATGTCAGACAAATCAGTCTAGTTGCATGTTTGTATGTACATATAGCCTTTTATACAATGTAATATTCATTGAGAAAAGCATCTTCAATTTGATTTATTAGAAAATTATGCTAGAGATACAGTACCTTAATTAATTTTAACAATAATTGTACTGCTTTATTAATGTGGGGGTATAGGTCATACCTATATGATAGCATAAAAAATAGACACCAGTGACCAACATAACTGTGCTATGTAATTTTTTTCTTCAGTGATTGCAACCCTTAGTTTTAATGATTTATATCAGTCACTCAGGAAAAGTGTAAAACAGACCATTCTTTCTATCTTAGTTTATTATTAATGGAGTGATAAAGGCAACTGATCAGTTTGAAAAAAATATTTCAACAGATGTAAAAGTTAATATACAACTGGAATAAATGTTGAATTATTTTCTTTTTCTCTGCAATCTGCATGAAATTCAGGGACGAATGTTTAATTCAATTTTTTTAAAAAATTAAGTCTAAGGCACATTCAGCAAAATTCTGAGTAATTAAAAGAAAAAAAAAATACTTTAAAGAATGATAATAAACTTTCATTAAAATACTTGTATAATGTTTATATTCATTTTCATGTTGATTGTAACTACCATTTAAAACTGACTATGTTATTTCCTATTTAGTGTTGCAGCTAAACATGCCATAATCAGAAATGATGGGGGGAAGTTCACCATTGAACCGTGCGACGTTACCAACAGATTGTTACAGAACGGGAAGGCGGTAGTGTCCAAACAACCCCTCAACCATAATGACAGGTACAACGATAAAAAGACCCTGCTTAATTGTTTTAGTTGATTGAAAGTCTGCTTTTTTAAAATTGTTAATTCATATGATTGCATGATGTTAAAAAAACACAATGCATTTACATGATAACTTATTGTAAAAGAAGTTCATATAGCATTCGTTGATATGTCTATTAAGATTTTATATGGTGTATCATACATTGTACTTCATAATAAATGTTTACAGGAATCCTATTTCTAATGTTTTCCATTCCTATCCAATAGATTGATCTTTGGAACCACACAGTACTTTGTGTTTGTAAATCCTAAAGAAAGGGACTCCTCTAAACAGAAGTATCCCGAGGTGACGTTTGAAATGGCTCAGGAGGAGGTGGCTAAAAAGTCCGGATTTGACATGAGTGGAGAAAACAAGTCTAGAGGTCAGTTAGGCCTAGAAAAAAAATATGTTTGTTTCCGCTTTCCCGACCGACCCTAATTTATAGTGCCGACCCTAAATATTTTTTTAAATGCTTTTGTCCCATGATGTGCAAGATTTCAACCAGGGAATTATAGCCTCCAACTTTGCAAGCTTTTCAAGACAGAAAGAAGTTTGGGTCACCTTTCTATTATAAGTTAAGTCACAGTAATGCTTGAAAACACCATTTCTTTTGTCATTAATGTTACTTCTATACATGTTCTGATTAAAGAAGCAAAAAAAATTTTTTCAAAAAAAAAAAAAAAATTGCCTACTTACCTACCCTATATTTTTTCAGCCTGAAAGCGGAAACAAACATATTTTTTTTCTAGGCCTTATTAACTTCAGTATCAATAGACATTTAGAGATAAATTCTGTAGTGCGTTTCAATATACAATAATGTAATCTTTAGAAGGTAGACATTACAGGTGATCAAGTCTGAGTAGGGTTGTTCTATGATGCTTCCTCCCAAGGGTGACAACCCTTCTCAGACCTAATAATTTGTGATGAGCTATTGTATTGTCATATGAAGGGAGACAACATAGTTGCCACCCTGGACATGGAGAAGATATCACAAATTGTGTCCCTGCATGTGACATGTTCTTGACCAATCAGCTTGATGAAAGATAATAATACTGATTATTCTCTGTTTTTAATGACAGATGATGCCCTGTTACAAGAAGACATGTTGGAGATCATGCCAGCAGTGGAGGAAGCTAATGCCATCAGTCAGGAACTGGACAAAAAGATGAAGTTTGAGTCGATGATTGTGTCCCCCGAGGCGCGGGGCGAACAGACGGGTCGGACAGAGGTCATGATCAAGGCCACAAACGTAGAGACCAAACACGAATGGATCTGGCCCAAGGTCAAGTTCATGAACAGGAAGTATGTGATGCAGGAGATGTACAATGACTTCTTGGATGGAGACGACCCCTGGGATTTACCACCAGTAAGTTAGCGTGTGTTTCTGGGAGGGGTATGATCTGTGATATTTACCCATGCCATGATAGGGCAACTTTTTCTTGAATGAAAATGATCCCTGGAATAAGGTCCATCACATTTTTACTAAAAGCAACTTTAATTTTTTCAGGAGAAGGATCCATTCATTGATGACATCAATGCAGAGTTCCATATTGGTAGTGTGAAAATCTGGCTGCAGTCAACCTCATACATGGTGAGAAAATCACAGACTTCTATAGACTGGACCTTGAAATATTTATTTCTAGATTGAGGAATTCATATGATTCACTTTATATCTTAATTAACAGAAAAATAATGATGCCATTTAATTTTTGTACAGATATCTATGAAGGAACAGTTGGATGTTATTGACTACCGAGGCTATGAAGTGGGAAAAGTCAATGTAAGCTACAGAGTGCACTTGTTCTTGTCAGATAGATTATAAAGATTAAAAATATTTGAAAGCAATTAGAAGTGTGTCAAAATTAAAACATGTAGTGCAAAGAACTTTGCTAGAAAAGACCTCCATTCAGGGTAATATATTGGTTACTTGAACCTGCGCCTTGTTGTCCTTACTTATGTGGATTGGCAGTCTCTGGCGTAACATGTAGTTTCTAAAGCTAAATGCATGTACATTTTTAAACCATTATATGACATTTTATCTCCATAATGTAAAAATTTATTTTTATTGTTGTGCTAGTACACTGTATATGATTTTAGAGTTTCATGTAGTTGTAACTGATACAAGGTGTATGTTTCTAGCCTATTACTGTTTGTTTTGTATGACTGATGTTGAGTATTTGTTTTTTTTTTTGTTCCAGATTGAGCTAGTCCCCTGTGATAAATCTGGTAAGGAGATATCTGAAGATGAAGTATTTGTAGAGGACCCATCAGAACTCATAGGTAAAGATGTCTTCTTCAAACTGAAGCTTGAGAATGCCATGGGTCTACCATCCAAGTTCACGGTAAGCTCCAACTCTCGACTTTATGTTAAGTGGCCAGCACTTGTTGTTGGATTTTTTAACGTTAACAAGAAAACCGAAGAACGAAAAAAAATCAATACTGGTAATGAAATAAAAAAAGTTGAAACATGTACGTGTATGTTGATTATTCCTTGTCTTTATACATCAAGTCTGAAAATTAAAATTTAAGAAATTCAGCTCATTGTCTTGTTTTGTTATGAATAAGCGTTCAGCAAAATGTTAGAATTATGTCAGTACATTTATTAATTTGATAATGTAATTTTTTGACAGGATCTGTATGCCAAATATATTTTCAATCATGAACAAAAACCATATGAAACCAAGAAGTTGAGCAATACCATCAACCCTCAATGGAAATTTAACCAAGTTCATGGATTTGCAAAATGCACAGCTGATGTGAGTGACAGATTTTCTTCTAAATTTTATCTTATCTTGGAAATCTTTCATAATTTACCATCATACAATGATTACTTAATGCACATGCAGTCATTTGTTCACTTCAAAGAGCAATTTTAGATACATGAGGGATAAGGGATCTTCTCATATTAAAGAACAACTATGCTCAATAATAACTTGTACATGTTATATGATGTGCTTCTTCAATATGTTATTTTCTGTCCAGGACCTTGAATTCCTGAAAGATGGAGCCATCATGCTGCAGGTCTGGGGAAAACAGAAGCCTCCAAAGGAGAAGAGAAGTGTGAACACGAAGGATGCCCTGGTTAAAGGAGCCCTGACCAAGGGTCAGTCCCACAATGTCAACACCAACAACAAGAAGGTGGACCCAGAGAAGGTCAAGTACATGGTCAAGTGTGCAGTGTTAGAGAAGAAGACACAACATCTAGAACAGAAACTGGTGAGGATCCAAATTTATCCTGTCTAAACTCTGAGTATCCTGATTTGATCAGAGTATTCTGATTTGGTTTGAGTAGACCAGTTTGGCTTGAAAATGTTAATTTGGTATGACTATTCCAACTTCGTTTGAGTAGCCCAAATTTGTTTGAGTATCCCTATTTGGTTTTTGTATCAGAATTATTTTTAGCTCACCTGAGCCGAAGGCTCTGATTACCTGTCATAATTCTTTCCACTGTGGAATCTGATTACCTTGTCTGACATTGTGTGCTGGTTTGATTACAGGCAGCCATGAAGAGAATGTTGGAGGAAGCAAACAAACACAAGAAGAGGAAGCTGACGATAGAACTGATCCAGAAGATCTACCACGCCCCCTCTAGTGACGCCGCCGAGAAATGTATTGCTCTTATTCCACAGGAAAAAGGTAAATAGTTGGTACGTATTTTAGGAGAAATTTCTCTTTTCGTATTTAATGACTTGTCGCGACTCGGTCCCTCTCACTGGCCCCCAGCCTCATCAGCTGGAGTCCCAAGGAGCAAAAACGCAGGAGGGATTGTTATTAACCCTTGAGTTATTGACGAAAAACTCTCTCTGCATTACAAATGCTCAAATCATTACTTTGTACCTTATTCATCTTCACATAAAAGCAATCATGAATTTAAGTAAGTTTTTTAGTTCTAAAAATGTTAACTTTTTAAAATATAAAATATGATGGAATACATTTTATTTCTGATGTGATTTACGTATGAATTGATTTTGATGAATTTTCAATATTTACAGATGACACATCATCGGAATCATCTAAATCTTCTTCTTCATCGTCTTCTTCATCTGATGAGGAGAAAAAGAAAACCAAAAAAGATGCTAAGGAGAAAAAGAAAGCTAAAGCAGTATTAAAGAAAAAGGAAAAACCGGCCTCGGCAAAGTCTAATCGGTCACCGCGTCCCCCACCAAATAAAGCCCGGGCTCAAACATCTGACGCCATCCGAAGCCAGAAACAATCCAGTTCTTGTGTACTCTTATAACTGTTAACCCGGGACTTAAAATCTGATTGACCTTCTTTAAGTTTGTTTTTGGGAACAAGGATGACTGATATTTATATTTTTTTCCGTCCATGTTTTATTTAAATTGTTGCATAATTTATTTCACCTGCTAGATATTACCAGTATTTCTCCAGATGCTTTGCTCAGTTTTATTTTTTTATACTGTTGTGTTCCCCCTCATTCAGTAGATTCCCTCTCTACATAATACAAAAATGTGTCGTTATTTAATCCAGTTAATGAGAACATTTTTATTTATTTTCAACACACATATCATATTTATTACAATGCTGTACAATATTATTGTATGTCAATGTAAAGCTTTCCAATTCATATATAATTTATGAATTTAATTTTTTTTTATCATCTGAATTTGTTTCAAATTGTTTTAATTCAGTTAAACATATATTTTTTATAGAATTACTATAAGCTAAATTGTTTCACAGTGTATTAAATGTTTATATACCTGGAATATGATTCTACAAAATGCTTATTTGACTGACATTTTCTATTTTTGTATCTTGAAGAAGCATATATTTCCTTTCCATTTTAGTGCATAATTCATCCTTTGTTTTCAGTGATATTTATGCTTACATTTATACATGTAAATGTTTAATTTACTCTTTCTGAATTTTATTAAAGTCTGCTCGTGTAGAGAAACTTTATTTTTATTCTGTTCAACAGGGTATGTTTTTGGACATTTGTTTTAAAATTCTAACATTGGAATTTTCACAAGAGTATTTTATTTTTTTTAAGTAAAACATTTTGAAGCAATTTGATTTCATAATGAATCACTAATCATTTAATGCATTTTGCACAATTGTATAATCACCCCTGAGTGCAATCCTTTAATTATACTCGTAGTTTGCACAGTGAAATTAGCACTTGAGATGCAATATTGTAACCAGAGAAAAAAAATTAAGTTTTGGAAAAACTTTCTATATAGAAATATGTCATGATCTGCTGCATATGCTTTAAACTATTTGTTGTTTATTGTTTAGTTAAGGTTGTTGGAGTGTTGTAAAATACTGTGATACTTTTTTCTACAATACCCTATACATGTGTTATCATGATTTTTATATAAAGTATGAATTGAGGACCGTCCAATGTTATTATCTAAACAACTGGAGATGTTTTTGCTGTTAAAATAAATCACATGATATACATTGCCAAAATCCTGTGATTTTTGATTGTTGCTGTGTTAGCGATAACAGTGCTCTGGGAGTAATAGTGAATTCAATGTTCAGATAATTAGTCACCTTATGGAGAAGTGCATAAGCTAGAAACTCAGATGTGACAATGACTGATGGATTTACTCAAATTTTAACCTAATTAAAGTCTAAATGAAATGATTATTCCTTATTCGCATTTATAGGCACCACAAACAGAAGAAATATTGATGTCCCCTTCAAGGGAGAGGTATATTGATTTGCACCTGTTATTGCGGTGTTGTCTGCACAATATCAAGAGGACCTTTAACTTGACATACACCTAACTTTATAAACAGATACCCTTTGAAGTTGAGATATCCCATATTGATTTTAAAGATAACAAGGACAAGAATCAAACTATATAGGAAGAAATTGTTCTTCAAAATCTCAAAAACTGAAAGATATCAAATTCTTGACCTTTGGTCACCAACACAATGGACAAACAAGACAAAGAAAGATAAGGGTCACTAGTATCTTGAGATCATGCTGCCTGGCGTGTTTCATACTAAATTGTTAAGCCATAATTTACACAATGAATTGTCAACAGATTTTGCAGTTCGCCCAACCATGACAAGGAAAATGTGACCAGCACTTGAGGGATGCTTAGTCCTCCATGGCACCTGATCACACCTCAGGGGTTTGTGTTTGACATTGTTCTGTTGCCTATTTGTAATGTTTCGGTTGACTTTTAAACTTGAATACTCATCGTTATCTCCATATTTCATCATGTGACTTAAAACCATTTATGGAAAAAATAGATTTTTGTTTTATAAAGGGATGCGTGTACTATAATACTTGCATTATACTCTGGATCCAACACTCATTATCATGCACTTCAAGCTATAGGAGCAGGTCCATTCTTATTGATGATGTATCTACAGATACAGAGTAATACCCTGTCTTCATATATTACACATGACCTGTATACGTAGTTTAAGCTTTGTAGTAGACAATTGAGGGGGAAATACTAGTATGCAAAGTAATCGTTCACCCCTTAACATTGCTTCACAAGTTTCTGTTTAAGATCTTTAAATAAAAAAGCAAATGTACTAGACATTTATAAAATACCTGTCGAAATCAGAAATAATGCCCGTAGGAAGCAATTTCAATTGGGGGGGGGGGGGGGGGCACAGCCAAACACTTTCAGTTGGGGGCACTACCAACTACCAAAAATTCCTTGACAAGCAAAAAAAGGTCATCAAACTTTTTTTTAGTAAGGGGGCACAAGCATATAATAATTTTCTATATCATTCTCTTTATCGGGAAAATTTTTGGGAGGACACGGTCCGCCGTGCCCCCCCCCCCCCCCCTAGGTTCTTAAGGCCATGGAAATGTAGAAATTGCACATCAAACTCAAAGAAGACGCAACTTATTTCACATCTGAAAAAATTGTAGTATACATCTAAAATAAAAATTCTCTTCTTTATCAAAAAAAAAAAAAATAATTTAGTGTTGCAATAAAACCTGAAGATATTGAAAGGAATGATCTTTCAAAATATAGGCCTACAAAGAAAAAAAAAATTCATTCTCACAGGATGAATGCATCAAGCAACACCCCTCCCCCGCCCATTTTCCAAGTTTTCATTTAGTTTTGCCTCGAATTAATAAAAAAATGATATGTTT